CAGGGGGGCCGCGTGCAGGGGCAGCGTCTTGGTGGCCAGCACCTTCCGGAGGCACGCGCCGCACTTGTAGCCGTCGGCCCCGTCCAGCCACTCGGGCCTCACCAGCAGGTCCAGGGCCTGGGTCACGCTCTGTGCCACCTGGATGTCCAGGCCGTTGTCCAGGTAAGAGTCCAGGGTGTCGGAAATGCCGTGGCAGCGGAGACACTGGGTCCGAGATCTCCAGTGGCCTCCAAAGACCCCGCGGATCAGGGTGGCATCCTCTTAGGAGGGCCTGCCCTGCGGTGGCGGTGGCGGCGGCGGCCGCTTCTCCTGCACACAGGCCCGCTGCAGGGTGTCCAGCGTGAACAGGAGGAATTCGTGGGCGTCCTCCTGCCGGTTCTCGTGGAAGCCCGCGAGCAGCTCCCCCTCCGGCGTGATGACGTCCCGGGTCACGTGAGCCTGCAGGGCACACAGGGTGCAGGACGCCTATTGCGCGCAGGCCCCGGAGTGCTGCTTGGACAGCAGGTAGCAGGCCAGGGGCGGGGTATAGCTGAGGCACTGCAGGGCTGCATTCGCGTAACAGGTGTTGCCGAGGTTCTGGAGCCCGGCCTGAAACCTCTTCTGCTATAAGCTTACGCGGGTAACTTGCAACAAGTTGATTAATGTTTGAGATAATTTTCTGAGAATTAGTTAATTTTGGGATCTTGCAGGTCAATGACCCTTCCATTGGTTTACAATCCTGTACATTGAATTAGAGGGCAGTAGCTTTGCCTCTCTCTAGAATAGGTGGTCTTTGATGGCTTTTACATGTGCTTTTCCATACATATTAAAAGTAGAGTTACTTAGATTTTCACTTCTTAAACTTCTCACAAGGTTAGTTATTTTCATAGGTTTTTGAAAATATGACTTAAATTCCCAAACATTTGATAATGTGGAAAATAATTCATATGGTGGTGGCATCAATAACTTGTTAACTTGTGACGGGTTTCAACAAAATACAGGTAGCATGGCACTTCTGTTAAAAATAATTTTCTACAGCATCTATGAAATAGTGACTACAGTTCATACTGTATTGCATATTGAAAAGTTTCATGTTTCTACCAGAAAACACATTGACATCTGTTAGGGTGTCAGCCCCCAAGTGTTTTCTATGTGTTGAAACCCTAATGACCAATCAGAGACTATCATCCGCATAATCCATACAGAAAATATCATAAAGAAAACACCCTAAATCTTCCAGGGGCACGTGTGTTAGGGAAAGCAGCGTGTGCACAGAACAAACCAGATTATCCATAAAGGAATGAGAATTTCCTGTTGAGCTAATTAGCAATATTCAGCATTAGAGGACAGAGGAACATATTTTACAATGTCAAAGAGAGCCCTAACCGGTTTGGCTCAGTGGATAGAGCATCGGTCTATGGACTAAAGGGTCGGAGGTTCGATTCCGGTCAAGGGCATGTACCTTGGTTGCAGGCCCAGACCTGGTCACCGCTCCTGCAGAAAGCAACCAATCCATGTGTTTCTCTCACATCGATGTTACTCTCTGTATTTTCCTCTCTCTTCCACTCTTTCTAAAAAATCAATGGAAAAATATCCTCGGGTGAGGATTAACAACAACAAAAAATGGAATAAAGATAAAATTTGAATACTTTCCTAAAATTAGCCATTTGGAGAAATAATTGTGATAAAGCAGTGCTTATTTAAGAAATTAAATCCTGTCATATTCCTTTCAAATCCCCTAAAACCTTGCCACATAATAGTAGCCATCCCCCAAAAATCAATGTTTATAGGCATAATTAAAATAAATACATTTATTTATTACTCAGAATGAATCCTTCCTATGAACTGCATGTAGCTCTTTAAAACTGCCTCCCACCATTCCCAAGAATAACCTGATTTTTCTGGGCTAATGCTCAAGGTGTAAAGGGAAGAGACGTTGGTCCGAGACTCAGAGATGAGTCTTCAGCAAAGGAATGGACATATATGAGTCAGTTAAGTGCACTGAACCTAACCTGTAGAATCTGTAAAATTATGATTCCCAAACTATTAATTAGTTTTCTAAATCTAATGATAGAAATCGGGTGTTACAGTTTGCATTTTAAGGCTTTAAGATTGTTCCTATATATCATCCTTAAAAGGCCAGGCCCTACTGAATTTTTAGCATTGTAAGACAGGCTGCTGTTATGAGAAGGCTAAATCGTTTGGGGGTTGTTGTTTTTTAATAGTCTTTTATTGATTTTTAGAGATTGAGGAAGGGAGAGGGCTAGAGAGATAGAAACATGGGAAAAAGAGGAATATCCTCTCTCGGCTGACTAACTCTTGCATGCCCCCTACTGGGAATCTTCAGAACCCAGACACGTGCCCTGACCCCGTTGGGAAGGAACCAGCAACCTCTTGGTTCCTGAGTTGATGCTCAGCCACTGAGCCACACCAGCCCGCCAGGCTAAAGAGTTTCAACAAACAGATCCATGAGTCTCCAGGCCTCTCTGTGCCTGTGCCTTTTGCCGTGTGACTTTTGCCTGTGCCTACCTGAAGCCTTCAGGCATCTGAGAAATAAATGTGCAGTGTTGTGTGCCACACAGCAATTTTGTGACACTAGCTAACTGCCACAGTTCAGTAAAAGAAAAGAGTGAATTTGGCTTTTTGAAAAATGTTAATTCTCCTAGAAATAAATTCTCCTAGAAATAAAGAGAGTTATTCGTTGAACCAAATAATGTAAAGGTGCCTTACCCCCGATATATAAGCTACATATCCATTGGGGCTCATTTTTTAACATTATAAAACTGATATTGGTGAAATAGAATACTCCTAAAATGAGTGAAAATCTTTTTTTTTACTACAGTGCTGCATATTTGTTTGAAAGTATATACTTGTGCAACAAGAGGCAGGCAGAGAATAATTAACATCTGACAGTGCTTCATCTGTGGATTCCACACTGTATCAAAACTAGTCTTGCTTTATTCATTTATTTAACTTGTAGCTCAAAGGACCAATATGCATATTACACACAGTTCCACTGATTATACAGACATCAAACTTACTTACTTTTTTAATCCACAGATCCTAATCACATATTCTTTTGCGTATTTTAAGGAAGCCTCGCTAACCATCTATTGTGGTTATCTAAGCATAGTTACAAGCATAAAAAAACTGGTTAAAGTTAAATTTCTACAAATGGGAAGTCAATTTGGTAGCAAATTGTGTAAGAAATGGTCTGATTGGTTCTCCAGTTTGAAACTTGAAAGAAAATAATAGGATTAAAATTTTATTTTATCATATATTAACATAATTCTGATTATAACTGCAGCACACTAATTCCTAGAATGAATCTGAACAGAATCTAATTTTGGTTGGGATTGTTGTCTAACTATATTTTCTGACAAAATTACTAAATGTTAAATGCAGTGTGGTATCCTAAATTGGATCCAGGAACATCAAAGTGCATTATAACAAAAAATTGTTGAAATCTGAATAAAATTTGCAGCTTCATTAATAATAATATGAAGACATCTTAGTTTTAACAAATGTTCCATGTAAATGGAACATTAGGGAGAACTGGTGAGGGGTAGACAAGTTGGAATGTTTCTATCAATCTAGCACTATATATATCTGACTTGAAAAATGGGGTGAAGAAGCAAAATACAAGCCCATATTTTTATTTTTTTCCATAATACAAATTTATTGTTACACAAATGTACAGTATTTGAACAGAAAAAGAAAGCCCCACTGTTGCTTAGAAAGAGGAGTTGAAGCAGCACGTGGGAAGCAGGGTGGCTCCGGGATGTCAGGTGTGTGGCTAGTGGCTCGGCTCCATGTATGTGGAGATGTCCATTTCTTCAGGAAGCTCCGCCACATTGACTTCAAACCGACCCTGAACCTCATTGAGGATTTTGGCATCGTTCTCATGAGATACAAAAGTGATAGCCAGGCCTTTGGTGCCAAAGCGACCGGCATGGGCCACTCATTGGAGGTAGGTGTCCGAGTCCCCAGGCATGTCATAATTGAAGACGATGTTGACTCGCTCAATGTCCATCCCTCGGGCAAACAGATCGGTGGCCACCAGGATCAGCCGCTGAAAGTCCTTGAACTGCTGATAGCATGCTAGGCGCTCCTCCTGGCCATGGCCCCGTGGATGGCGATGGCTGGGAAGTTCTGTTGCACGAGTAGCTGGGCCAGGGCCATGCAGCGCTGCACCGACCTCACGAAGATCACCACCTGGTTAAACTCTAGCACGTCCAGGAGGTCGAGGAGTTTACGGTTCTTTTCTCTCTCGTTGAGCTTGACGTAGTACTGCTGCAGCCCATGCAGCGTGAGCTTGGTCTCACAAAGATAAATTGATGCGAATGAAAGAAGAGTTTTGGGATTTTTTTTCAATTACAGTTGAAATACAATATTTGGAAGAAGAACATCTAAAGTCATTTCAGCAAGCTATGAATATCCGTTGTTGTTTGTTTGTTTGTTTGTTTTTTCATGAGCTATGAAGAGTTTTGGGATTTTTTTCAATTACAGTTGAAATACAATATTTGGAAGAAGAATATCTAAAGTCATTTCAGCAAGCTATGAATATCCGTTGTTGTTTGTTTGTTTGTTTGTTTTTTCATGAGCTATGTGTTCACATGTATTGGCATTTGATACAGAGTCCTGACCATGTGCAAGGAGGCAGCCAGAGGTGTGGGTAGGAAAAAAAACATCCTACTCCACATTCAATTCATTCTATTAATCCATCAACCCACACCACGCTTACCCCAACTAGTAGTCCAAAGAAAATAAAATGGCCCAGGAACAAGCAGTACTAGCCAAACTTAGCAGTTTATTGAAAACTTGTAGCATAAATTCCATACTGATGCTATTTTCAATCAATCTCATCACAAGGTGAGCTTTACACTGGAACATACTGTAGTACTCCCAGGACAGTGTATGTGGATGCTTTATTGAAAAGTATAGATGGGATGCTGGATTATGCCGGATTATTCTCTTTTCCTCCACCAAATATGGGATGTAGTAAAACTCCACCAGTTTTCAGCTCATATGCCACAATTTTGTCCAGCTCCTCTTCTTTCCAACTGGGGTATTCATTAACTCCAAAAGTTTTTTTCATCCAAAGTCCATAAATATAGCCTGAAATTCCCTTCAGTACCCATTCATCAGACCAAGACATTCTGGATATGAAACATCCAAAAAACTGCTGGGCCAAGGACTGGGCTAAACACCTTCTAGTCAAAGGTGTCTCATCGATAATCCTGGCACTGTGCAATAGTTTTGTGCTAAAAATGCTCATGGAAGCATAAGCAGCCTCTTCAACATAAGCCTCATCGATGAATACAGTCTTAAAGCAGGATTATGGGTATCAACGTGTAAGAATTTCTTCATAAAATTCAAAAACCTCAAGAAGATATGATGTGGTATGTTTAAGCAATGGAAGAAGTTGGGGTAAACAAAAATGAGCAACCTCATGCATATATGGATCTACAAGTGTTTCAAAAGGTCCAATGGCCAAGGCGATATTTGACGCAGCTGTTGGAATGGTAAGCATGTAATGGAAGGTCTTCTTCCTCATATCATGGGTGTTAGGTCGGAGAGAGCCCAGGATCGGATACATGCAGACATGTGACGAGATAATGGACTCCCCCTGGCATTTCTAAGATCAGCATGCCAGACACAGATACTGGCTTCTCCATGACCCCCACACAGATACTGACTCATTCCTGAATACCTTGCTGACCCCCTGCAGCTGAAACTTCCTCAGCCGAATACCTCAGCTCATGTCCCCGCCCCTCACCCAACCGGAGTATAAAAAAAGCGCCCCCCTCCCTGTTGGTGTAAATCCATGAGCCCTGTCCTTGGGGGTACGTGGGTCTCCCGGGGACGCAGAATAAACTTTCCTTCCTTCCTTCCTTTTCTGATCAACTCTCTTTATTTCCTTCGCCGCCTCCTGAGCCACCTAACCTAACAAAAAAAGTGGCTCTGGACCCATCAGGACCTCATCTCTTCAGCTCAGCAACTTTTCCCAGTTTGGCAGCATCAGCTGTGAGTCCCGCCCCGCCCCCGTGCCGGTCCCATGTGGCCGCCAGCCCGCCCGGCGTCTCTGTCCCTAAAACGTGGCCGCCTCAGAGATTGCCTCTTTCCGGACCCTTCCAGGAAGGCTCCTCCGGGCCTGGGAAGTAGTGGAGACGTCCCTACATCCCCTGGCCCAATTGTCCATCCGTAGCGTGGGTTAAACCACTGGGACGCCAGCCTTTAGCCCTGCTACAGGCCACGGGTATCGAGCAAGGGGAATCCAAATTCCAAACCTGGCCTGAGCACAACTCTAGGGTGTCTGCTCGCGGATCTGGCTAAACACGGGGCCTGTCCTGGACCTGCGTCCTTTTTCTGTAATGTAGCATGACCTCAGTCTGAAAACGGGACCCTGACTTTACCGTCCGCACCGATCTCAGTAATTTCTGCCAGCGAACTGGGAAATGTGTCCAAGTCTCTCTCTCTCAGCCTCTCTCTCCACCTCTCCTGCTCTCCTGCGTCCCCGTCCCTCCCCCAAAGTTCCTTCCACGTCTCTCCTCGCTCCGCCCTTCCTCCTCCCTCCGGGCTGTCCCTGGCCGCGCACCGTGGAGCCCGAACCACCGAGCCCGAGATGTGTGTGTGTGGGAGTGGGTTCATGTGCTGTGTGTGGGTGGCGGCGCCAGCGCCGTCATCATCATCATTGTCTCCATGTCCTCCCGCTCCCCTTCACCGGAGACCACCGCAAATTCCCCCAGCGAAATTCCCCCATTCTCCCGCCGGCTTCTTGCCCCTGTCCGTCCACCCTCTCTCCTCCTCCTTCCCTGCCGGACCCTTCTCCAGCCACGCCTTCTCCACCGCCTCCTGACCCCGCCTCTCCTCTTCCGCCTGCCCAGCGGCGCCGGAAACTCAAACCGCCTTTTACAACCCCATGGCCCTGCACACCACCGCCGCCTCTGCCGCCACCGCCGTGCGCACTGTGCCCCGTTCCCCGTTCTGCCGCCACGCGGTAGGTCCGTCTGCCTGCTTTGCCCCCACCGCCTCCGCCGTAGCCGCTGCAGGAGCAGGAAGCTCAAGCCGCCTGGCGACTCCCCCACCCCCGCCTGCTTCCCCAGTAGGCACACAGGCATCCGTAGGCTCCACCTTCCTTCTGTCCCTCCTTCCCTCTGCCCCACCCCTGGGAGGTTGTGACTTTTAAACTCGATTGAACAGCAGCTGGTGTCTTTCTCCGCCAACCCTACTGCATTCATCAAAGAATTCCGGTAACTCTCCCACCGCCACCCAGGCGGCCTCTCCTACTCTCTCCCCTCCCCTTACAGGCCTGCCTTAGTAACC